CGTCAAGCCCAGAAGTTTGCGAGTTTATTGATTGAGTGCACCGGACAGTTCTCCTGTAGTGAAAGAGAGAGGGAGAGAGACAAAGAGGTAGCGATCTCTGGGAAAGATCAGGGTTGGAGACTGGCTAGGTCTGGTCGAAATGTTGACAATATGTATGCATAGGTTCAGAGTTATAGAGAGTTATAGGGAATGAACATACATGCACATATTGGCCTACGTCGGAAAGTACGGGTGACACGCTACAGACCACAGATACACTTGAAGTGGCGGCAGACAACCTCTTCGGGAGTGTAGGGATGAGAAGAGGAACGAGGCTGAGAGAACGAGAGCGAGAGATGAAGTGAAAGCCAGTCGGTTTTGCTGGCGGTTTGTTTACCTGTTATGCTGTCGCGAGCCGCATTGTACCGCCCGCGGAAGGCAGAAGAACAGACGGCCGGCCGAAGTAGACAGGGTAGGCTCCCAGGCGGCTCTGTACGGGATCAGTACCACTTGTACATGCGGATGAATGGGCGATTCATGATCGGGCCGCCATGCCGTGTCCACTCGATGCCCCCTCTACCGGCCAGTCACCCTTGCAACTCGAACTAATGCACCTTTTGGTGAGAGGCAGCGAATTTGTGCTCCAAGAGGGACGATAGTTTTGAAAAACTGATACATTTTGGCAAGAATTTTTACTTTTTCGCCACAGGCTTTCTGTGGCGCAGCGATTACTCAGGTCCAGTATCCAGGCCTGCGGAGATGTATCGGTCAGTGCATATATAACCATTTGTGGAGCCATATGCGTGTATGTGTTTTTGTACAGAACGCCACAGGCAAGCAGACAACGTCATCGTGGACCTGTTGGCTTTTTGGCTCTTCTTTCTGTCCTGCCTCACAGACGGATCGGCTTCGGCCGAGCAACACGTCCTCGAAAGTGGTAGCTGTCGGATCAACTGACAGACAATTCGTCTATGCAAACGGCCACGTTGCTGTTTGTATCGTGATCTTCTAGAGTGCAACCGCAGTGCTCGCGAATGAAGTTGATGTCGCCATCCCTAAATGCCTTAAATGTTGTCCCTGAGGCGTGACCCATTCACAAAAATGATGGAATTAACATTTAGTCTCCGAAACCTCAATACAGACTTCACGAGCAGCGATAAGTTGTTTGCGGAAATCGAACTTTGATTTTTTAGCAAGAACCATATTAAGGTTTTAATTATCGACGAGGGAACTTGCCCAGAATGATGTAATAATGAAAGTAGCTACGTCGTCTCCAAGTGGGCTCAAACAATGAATCTCTTCATCATGCACTTTCCCACAAAGTTAACGTCACCACACAAAGATATTATTAGGCCTCACAATAACATTGAATTTCACCAACATCCCAATGGGATTCAAGCCTGTGCCATGAGCAGTATGGCGACAAGATTCCAACTCGCGATAATAGTGAAATGCGTACATTTGTTTGCGTGTCCCCCAAATGTGTTGGACGGTTGCCTTGTTGGTTAACCGGTTGGGATCGATTGAGGGCCTACAGTCGCATGGACGGATGTGAAAACGACTGGCAAATAGCGTCTCTGGTGTCGAAGGTAGGCGACACAACGTTGTCACAACAGCGCTAGGATACTGGCAACAAATGCACAAGCCGTTAAACCGCAGTCCACACGTTTGAGTCGGAAGTTGTGTATCGCGTGATCTGTTGTCATCATTTAAACAACATAACCCATTTCTCAACTGATCACGACGTCCTGCAAGTCGTAATCATCCCACGCACATGTGTGTGTATGATTGTTTGTGTGTGTGTGTGTGTGTGTGTGTGTGTAAATTGGAGTGGATGGGATAATCATGTGCATATAGCGATGACTTTATTCAATCTGTCACACCTACAACTCAACATCTGTCGGAGTGAATTTTTCACCGGAAGTGTTTTACACACGAGATGCTATTATGGAAGAAGCAATTCTGGCTTCCTGTTGGAGGCCGACCCATCATATACAGGCGACTTGTATTCATTGCGGAGTTCCACGAGTCGAGCACGCTTGGCATAAATGTGCCCTAACCCCACCGCGCTTCTGTGACAAAAGATCCGTCACTTTTTTACACAAGAGTCACTCTTAATCTGGAAAAAAATTTGGCCTTTGTCTCAAACATCGGACGGCGGCGGTTGCTAAGTGAATCCACGCCAGAGCAATTTGGACGTACGCATAGATCAGACCTTCTCTGTAAAAACCATGAACTCTTCTTATATGAGCTAGAGACACTTTCGAATATTCCTTGCGTTACAGGGTACATTAATTTAGCCTTGGCGTTAGGGCTGTGTGAATGAATCACGCTTCTAGTTTGAATCCCATTTCCGAGTACAGATAGGACAAACTCAGCTGACCATGGGACTATTGTGAATAATTTCCATTTCGAAGGA